CCTGGGATCATGACCTGAGCTGAAGGCAGACGCTTAATGACTGAGCCGCCCAGGTGCCCCGAAACAAACACCTTAAAACAATGTTTAAAATTTTTTTAAAAAATTGGTAAATTTAAAAGATACTAACAAGTCTATCTAATCTTGCCCTAGTTACGAACATGAGACTGGGAGAGAGTCTGCGCTGGAAATGATCTCCTATCTCTTTGACACATTCCCTCAGGTACCTTGAATCACAAACTGTAGCTGTGTTCCCCTTGATCCCTGGGAGCCACAATCCTCCCATATGGGCACCTGTGAGAATTCCAGTCTGAGTGTGCTCATAACTGCCTGTTTTCTTTTAGGGACTGCTCCATGAGAACTGCGGAATGTTCTTTATTCCTCTTTGTCTAATGATGGTGAATGATGACTCTGCCATGTGTAAAAAGATGGCATCCATGACAATCAAATCTTTACTCAGTAAAATCAACCTTGAGAAAAAAGATTGGCTCTTTGAAATGGTTACCACCTGGTTTGGAGCAAAAAAGGTTAGGGTTGCTTTTAGTCATATTTCAATGAAAAGTCTATTTTTGGTGTTCACTTTAAGTAAGAATACATATGTAGTCCCACTACATGATTGTCAGCCAATTACACTACTACATGAATGTATCACTTATGTGCTTAACCATTGAGTATCTTTGTTTTCAGTTTTGCTTATTCAGCTAATGAAATGTAATTTTTGTCAATGATTGTATCTCATTGCTGACTCTACCACCATCATCAGTGGCCTGTGTTTGTGGAATATAAACAACATATGTCATAATATTGGCTTTAAGTATTAAAGTCAGAATGGGGAATGGGGGTACTGTATGAATATTTCCATTTTTTAATTAAAATTTTTTTATTATTGAAGTAGAATTGACAAATATTACATTAGCTTCAAGTATACAACATTGATTTGACCATTCTGTATATTATTTGGTACTCACCATGATTTTTTTTTTAATTTGCAATGGAAAAAAGTATTAATGGATAATGATGAGTTCCATTTTTTTTTTTTAATGTTATTCTTGGGTATGAAGATTTCTCCATATTTTTCATGTTAGCCACCAAAGGTCCATATTCTGTTGACTTCTGGCATCATAAAGAAATACTGAGGATAGAGTCATGCCCACCTTCATTTTATGATTTTGGAAATGGCCTCCCAAGTTGTGTTAACATTGTCTTCTGATGGTTTATTTTTGGTAGAGCTTAAATAGACAACTGGCTGCCCTCATCTGTGGCTTGTTTGTGGAAAGTGAAGGAGTCTCTTTTGAGAGAAGACTTGGAACTGTTCTTCCTGTGATTGAAAAGGAAATTGATCCCGAAAACTTTAAAGATGTAAGTAATTTGCCAGAGAATAAAACTTTTGCTAATTTTTGTAGTTTTATACGTAAGGTGGCTTAGCTAATAGATTAAATAGTATTTGTGTTCAAAAAATGTTTATTAATGAAAGCAAGAATTTAGTGTAGTTGGAAAAAAAAAAAGAATTGTGTAGTTGGATCTTTTTTTTTTTTAATGAGGTTTTAAAGTCAGTTATCTTCCATAGTATATGAAGATAGAAATTTCTCCAGCAGGTGATTTCACCAGCCTACCACCACCTACTCTGGACATTTAGCAACATCTGGAGACATTTTTTTGTTTGTCACAAGTGGAGGGTGGAGGGTGCTGCTAGCACCTAGTGGGCAGAGGCCAGGATCGCTGTAGTTCATTCTACGGTGCACACAGCAGCTCCCCACAAGAGAGAATTATCTGACCCAAAATGTCAGTTGAGATTTTGAGAAACCCTGGTACAGATTTACATGCTGGAGTAAAAACATCCATCAGAGACTTTGAAATTGTCTTAATTGATTTACATCCATCCTGTTTTTAGATCATGGAAGAGACTGAAGAAAAAGCTGCAGATCGCCTTCTGTTTAGTTTTCTTACACTGATTAGTAAACTCATCAAGGAATGTAATATTATTCAGTTTACCAAGCCCTCTGAGACGTTGAATAAAATCTGGAGTAAGTGTTTCCTTTTTATTTAAATCTAAAAACAAACACATTAGTTGTAAAAGAATTACTGAAAACAGATTTGGGAAATTAGAATATGAACACTTTGAAAGTATATAATGTCTGGGAAAAAGTCCATGAGAAAAAGATTTAAAAGGCCCTTTCAAACTGATTACAGTGAAAACATTTCTTTCTAAGAAAAGTACTATGTATTTATGATTTCACAAGTAATACATTTCATTATCTTGTTTGTTACCTAAATAAGAATATCATTATACCATAACACATTCAGTAGATGGGTTTTTAAAATAGCTATAAATAGTCCACCATGCAAATGTGCCATGATTTAGTAAACCATTTAATTTCTATGGGACATTTATTATATATCACTCTTTAAATGAAAAATAAGATCCTAGAATTTTTAATTTAACATATTCAATTTTGATTAGTCTGTAGGAAATAGACATTGAAGTGAAAGCTTTAAGTACAGTTACTATATGGCCCACTCTGGTATGACTTCACTGAGGCATGGCCAGATTGTTACAAAATAATATACACAGAGAACAAAAGTAAAACCCTGTTAATGAAATAAAGTAGCATAGACTAAAACTCAGATATGACTTGGTTCATCCAGAATTTTAATCCTGTTCCCTAAAACCCACAAGACTTTTCAGAGTGGCCAGGTAACATAGGAGTATAAGCTTTGGGGCCAGATGAAGCTGGGGCCCGGGCCTGGTTTTGCCTATTACAGTTTGGCACTTCAGCTAGCCTGTCTGAAACCTTTCCTCATCTGTAAAATGGAACTGACAATTCTAATGTCACAGAACTGTTGTGAGGTCTAAACAAGATAATACATGTAACACACTTAGCCCTGTGCCTGGCACACAGAAAGCCTCAAGAAATGATAACTTTCCACTGATTTCAAGAATTATTAGAAACAAATGTGTGCCTATATATATTACTTATATTACTTAATTTAGAAATTGTTAAGTGTTACAGCCACCTTATCTCCCTTGAACCTGAAACTAATTCCAATGGAACTGGTCAGTTTCTAGGCTTACTCCTACCTCTTTTGTCATTCACCATGTTAGGAGTTGGTTTTCTAGTTGTTTCCAGTGTTTCACCACCTCACTTCTCCCTAGCTCCTTGAGAGTTTCTGGGAAGCGGGGACTATTTTGTCCCTTTTTGGTTCCTAAATCCAAGCACATAATAGATAATGAATGCATACACTAATCATATTTACCACCAAAGAGTCAGGAAAGTTGAGACATCTGAAAATGCATTTTGGTTCCCTTAGGTTATGTGCACTGTCACCTGAGACATCCACACAGCTGGGTGTGGCTCACTGCAGCCCAGATTTTTGGATTACTCTTTGCCTCTTGCCAACCAGAGGAACTTATTAGAAGACAGAAGGCCAAAAAAACTAAAAAGAAACTCTCAGTACCTGTAGCAATAAGGTTCCTAACAAATGACCTTGAACAAAAGGTAAGATTTCCCTAAAACCTTTTTTTCTTTGTGATCTTCATTCTGCTTCGTGTAACTATCTTGGGGTTGGCCCTAGGGAGAAATTCTTAACAGCTGACTTTGTTGCACATGTGATTCTATAGGAGTAGTGGGAACTAGAGAAGGGTCAACCTCAAGGCCAGGGTTTTCCAAAATAATTTATATCAGTCTAGTCAGACTTTTGCTTATTTAGCAAATTCATCCTCTATTCAAATTCCTTTTTTTTTAACCACCCTCAAATTCTTTATCAACATTGGAAAATACTTTTTTAAATGATATCAATACTGTCAATCCTGCCTCCTAAATGAGATCATGTTCATGAAAATATTAGAGATCATGTTATATCCATCTCTGATTTCCTAGGGCCTAAAACAATGCATGACTCATAGTGGGAACTCCATAAATACTGAATGAGTAGAAAATGGAAGGGAAGGAAAGAAGGAAGATATTGGAATGTTGTCAAGTTTTCTACTAATAATCTGAGGGAGTATATTGCCCCAGAGCTTGAAAGTATCCCATTTTTTTGGGCTGAAGTGCTTGGGGCAGGTAGAAGGCATGACACAATTTCTGGTCACGGACCTTCCCTCTCCAGACCTATACAAGTCATTCAGAGCAAAATCTAGCACCTCAGTTGTTCTATTACAGTTAGTTACTTGGAGTTTTTAAAAACAATAAGAAATATCCTGCATTGTGTCTGCCAATGTCCATTTTCTTTTCACAGATGAAAAGTATCTCCCTAGCCTCTTGCCATCAATTGCATTCCAAATTCTTAGATCAGTCCCTAGGAGAGCAGGTAAGTATTGCCATCCTTCTGGTTTAATAGTAGGGATCTAGTGCACCAAGTCTAGGAATAGGCTTACATTTGGTATTTGTGTGTGTTCTCCTATTTTAATGCTTGGGGAATTAAATATAGACATACATGGAAATATATGTTCAGTTATAACATAAATCTAATCAGCTGTGGGATCCATCTTGGGGATGGATCCATTAAAAATTCCAATTTAAAATTCCCAATAAAGATGATGCAGTGGGAGGTTATTTATCTTTTCATGTTTAATTTTAAGATCTATTCCACATTGTGACCAAAGCTTTGAAGGGCATTAGTTGGTTGACTGGATTGTGATTGTTCTACAATAAACTGTATTACTGAATTTCCTTCCCTTACCCCTGGAAGCTGAAGAGAAAGTAATAACGGTCATGTTACAGTGTGGTCTGAGAATTGTCTATCCTTAACAGAAGGCAGATAAGTCACTAAAAAGTTTTATGGATTTTCATATTATAAAATGTTAACTGTAAGTAAAATGTAAATAGGGAAGCATTTATAAATATGCAGCAAATGTCAATTACTTTTGAACAGGGTCTACTGTTCCTTTATTTTTTACCTCCTTTGGTAAAGCCATATTGGGTTGGTAGATGATGACACAGATGTGTTATCTGGATATGAGCAAGGCACTGGATCATGACTCTTGTCATTAGGGACAAGATAGAGCAGCAATGTAGATTAAGTTATGGGACAACTGGAAACTGAATGCTGTATCCAAAGAGTGATCTCAAGTAGCATGCCATTAACCCAGATACTTCCATCCCATTTTCATGAAAATATAGCATGCTTCATTATATGGCAGGGCCAGAGAAAGAATGGAAAGCTATTAGGTGGATAGCAAAGTGAGACCAGAGAAATCCTGCCAGGGTAGTAGCAGGTGGGGTCTCCCACATTATCAGTCTGAACGGAGGTTGACAGATACAACCATAGAAACTTGGGACAGGAAGGGATTTACTAGTACTGACCCAGGATGAAAGAAATTATAGAATTTAGTTCACTGTAATCTTAGGGTGAAGTGGCTGCCACAAGGGGAAAAGGCCTCCAAAACTGGGACTATCTTCAGGAAGGCCAACGTTCCAGAAGAAGGAAATTAGAATCTTGGCATGAATTCTTGATGGCCAGGCTAGCCTAGGACAGTGTATACAATTCTGAGTCCTTCATTTGGGGGAAACTTTTGGCACATAGCACCTCTAATAGAGCATCCAGGAAGGTAAAGAAACCCAAAACCAACTTGGCGTCCTCCTTCACATAATTAGTGTGAAACATCTATGTCCGAGATTTCATGGATGTCAGAGTTAGGGACTCAATATATGGGTCCATTATTATAAGTCTAAAATTGGTCCCTGGGCTGTTTAACTGGATGAAATGGGATTTGAGGAGAAAGAGCTCAGTGCTTTAGAACTTAGGCTTGCATTCTAAAGACTTAAATCCTGGCTGACCACTTTCTTTGTCTTTGGGTGAGTCATTTAATAATTCTGAGCCTTGCTTTTCTCTCCTGATAATAGTACCTAATAGTGATATTTTAGAGTTGAATTAGAATTGCTGTGTATAAAGTCATTGCTCAAGAAATGGAAGCTTATTTGTATGAAGAGATTTAATGGAGGAGGAATGAAAGCTCTCTTAAAAATGTAAATGGATAGTCTGGAATGAAATCGTTTCCTTAGTATTCTTTGTGACCTTGGAGGGTAGAACTAGGCCAAGTAGATGAGTTACATGAAAATGGGTTTGGATACACTATAAAGTAGAGCTGAAGATTATCAAAATATGGAACAGTCCTCAGTTTAATAGTACAATGCCCAGTGATTTTTTTTTCTAAGTGTAGAATACCTATTTTACTAAGCTGTATTTATTTCAAAATCAAAGTCCCAATTCCTCCCTTTCTCTCGCCCCCCCTTAAGGTTGTTAAGAATTTGTTATTTGTAGCCAAAGTCTTGTATTTACTGGAACCTGAATCTGAGGATAAGCAAGGGAAGATAAAAGAAGACATGGAAGAAGAAGAAGCTTTAGGAGATGGTGTGGCCAGAGGGGAAGTGAAAGAACACAAGTCCTGTGCAGATGTGAAGATGGACCCTGACAAAGAAGAGAACGAGGAGGCAAAGGAAGAACACAGCAAGCCAGCCACGCTGCTGTGGCTGATCCAGAAGTTGTCCCGGATCGCAAAACTGGAGGCTGCCTATTCACCTAGAAACCCCTTAAAGGTGTGATGAATGTATAGAATGAAAGTAGTCACTTAAAAAAATACATTAAAAAAGCATTTTAGTGGTACTAGTAATCCTCCCAAGTCTCTAGAAGTTTTTAACCCAAAACTGCAGCAGTAATATCTGCCCCAAAAGAGACCTTGTTTTCTAAGTTAACTGTTTGTAGGATTGCAAGAGAAACACTTCAAACGAACAATGAATGATCTGTACTTTCAGAGATCGTGCATCTTTAAGTTTCTCGGAGCTGTAGCATTGGATCTTGGAATAGACAAGGTGAAGCCGTATCTCCCAGTGATCATAGCTCCTTTGTTCCGAGAAATGAACAGCACCTACTCGGACCAGGGTAACTGCAGCCTGTCTTCTGAATCTTCACTTCTTTCCTGAATGCTTCCTTCTTCCTTTCTGTCCTCCCTCCCTCCCTGCCAGAGTTTAAGAAAACGTGCTAGGGATCAAAACAATTAGTAGCAAACAAATAAGGCATATTTGTTATACTTGACTGCCTTCTTTGTGTTTTCTTGTGTCGAAGAGTGAATGTTTCTCTCCTAAAAGATGTTTTACTCCTAAGCATAGGTTAAATATGCAAAGAAATCCATAACTTGAGGTGGTTCTAAACCTCATGGTGCTATGGACAATAATGAATGATATTCTCTTATTGTTAATTATAAGGCTAAAGTGTGAAAAAAAATTTTTTTTTATTTGAGAGAGAGAGCACAAGCAGGGAGGAGGGGCAGAGGGAGAAGCAGACTCCCTGCTGAGCAAGGAGCCCAATTTGCGGCTCCATCCCAGGACCCTGAGATCATGACCTGAGTCAAAAGCAGACACTTAAGGCAGAAGCTTAACCTACTGAGCCACTCACGTGCCCTAAAAGTGTGAAGTACTTTTAAAATATTTTTACTTTTCCTATTTTTCATTTTTCTTGCCTGGGCATTTAGTACATTTCCCTCACTGATCCTAAGCAGTCTCTTTTGATAATAGGAAAAGAAGGAATTGGGAGTTGGAAAGAGAGGAGGTAAAGTGGATTATTAAGTTTTAGAATAAAATAAAGTGAATGTCAAAGTAGGAACTATTCTTAGTCTTACAACCTTGAGAAAGTTTCCTTCCTCTCAGAGGAAAAGCAATGGTCAAGGTCAGGTCTGCTTTGGTTCTCATCACCCAGCATTTATTGAGCCCCTAATATTTGCCAGGCACTGGGGAGGGGGTTCAGTGGTAGAAAAGACCCTACTACTCCCCATCTTCAAGAAATTTGTAACCCAGAACAGCTCCTGAAATTGAATACAAAAACCTGTGGGTTATTTGCATTTGGGAGATAGAAGGCAGGGAAGGGTGGGGAAGCAAAGACTTTTGTCAGCTTCTCAGAGTCTTTGATCCCCCCCCTGAAAAAAGGTTATGGCCATGGCCAGAGCTAAACATTTATGACCCATGAATTAGAGAGGGCCTAGAGACACACTTACCTTTCCCCTGTCTGCACAGAGTTGAGCAGGTTAATAAAGCAACCCAAAATGTTTCTGTCAGGTTCTCAAATTAGTGTCTTCTGAGCCAGGATTCCAAAAGAAAGTGGGCTCCTTGGTGCATCCCAGAGGAGTGGTGGCTGGAGTGTCATGCCCAACACTTCCGTTCTCCCATCTCAGAAACGTAAAGGCTGGATTTAGATCAGTGTTTAATGTTCAAGTAATAAGTGATAATGCCGTAGGAGTTTATATTTTGCATGTTGTTAATTTTATAGATGTTCAAATGTGTCCTTTCCTACATGACTAATTATTACTCTGTGTGTGATTAGATCCTATGCTGAAGAATCTATCCCTGGAAATCATAGAATTACTCAAAAAGCTGGTTGGACTTGAGAGCTTCTCCTTAGCCTTTGCCTCAGTACAGAAACAGGCTAATGAGAAAAGGGCACTCCGGAAAAAGAGGAAGGCTTTAGAGGTACGTTTGCTGTTTGAAAATATGGTGTGTACGTTTGCTGTTTGAAAATACGGTGTGTTCATTAGACTTAATATTTTTAATCAGGGGTGTGTGCATGTGTCACACTTACTCAGGGAGGAAAGAGGAACGGTTGTGTTTGAGAAGTGGCGACTTTACAGCTGGGGCTCCAGATTCTTTTTAATGGGAATGTGTTGCATGTGTGAGATTTAAAGGTGAACAAAATGGCCCATTTCTGCATTTGATTTTTATTGGTTTAGCATTTACTTTAAAAGTAATATAAAATTTCTGTCTTTTTCAAGTTCGTAACTAATCCTGATATTGCTGCCAAGAAAAAGCTGAAGAAACACAAAAATAAAAGTGAAGCAAAGAAGAGAAAGATAGAGTTCCTGCGTCCAGGCTATAAGACCAAGAGACAAAAGAGCCACAGCCTGAAAGATTTAGCAATAGTGGAGTAATATGCTCCCTCTGCTGATAAAGTATCACAATTTACCCCAAAGCATGAACTTCTCCATGTATCTGCTGGTCTGAAATCACAGCAGGTTTTATTATTTAAGTTAAACTGGCACAGATTGTATATTACACAGTTTAATCATGCTTATATTTTTTAAATTAAAACATTTTCATAATACTACTGTATCTTCACTGTCTAAAAAACATGACACTAGTGATAATGTTTTTTTTTAAGTCATATTTTAAAATAGCAAGACAATGTAGAAGTTAGGAATAAAACAAGTGATATGCAATACTTTTATGGAGAAAATTATAAAACTTTATCAAAAGTCATTAAAAGAAATCTGCACAAATGAAGAAATAACCATGTTCATGAACAGCAAGACTTAGTATCATAAGATACTAGTTCTTCCCAAACTGGATCCCATTGGTTAAAGGCATATCTGTGTAAAATCCCAAGAGTTCTTCATATTATCCTAACAAACTGATTCTAAAATTTATATGGAAGATAAGCTGAAAAGGGTGAGTTTTCCCTGTCAGATATCAAAAGTAAGTCACAAGAAGTGCTCTCCATAGTGAACATGTAATAAATTCTACATGAAAATTAAAAATTTCTGCTTGTGCGGACACAACCGGGATATGGTATGTAGCATATATGGATAATGAATGCAGTAGTACCCAGGTTACATAATGAATAATTATGAATCAACAAAGACAATCCAGTAGAAAAAGTGTCACTGCAGAGAAGAAAAAGAAATGGCCCTTAAACATTAATACTTGATGTGGCTATCCTAGTTCCTAAACATTCAAGTACTTATGTACTAGTTGGTAAGTAGTCACTGCCTTGGGACACACAAGTGCCACCTTGGCTATGTGAGTCCCTAGATTCCCTATCTCCCCACACCAAAAATTACAGGATTAACACCTGGACTAGTAGGGGTCTTCCTACATCAGCTATGTCTGGTTATTTAATACTTTGAATCACTCCTATATTCAACCTCAATAATTACAAAAATGCAAATTAACATCAGAATGAAATTCCATTTTGAACCCTTTAGTTTGATAAGGTTGACAATGCCAAGTGTTGGCAAGCTTGGCGAAGCAAAGGGAACTCTTATAAACCACTTTGGAAAACAATGTGGTATTATCTTGTTTACCTATACGGTATCTTTGTCTCAATCTACACGTGATGTGGAAGCAATATTCTTTAGTGCTCAATATATTGGGGAGGCGGGAAGAATCCATCCTATGTGCCAGATACTTTGCTAACATTTTGTTTAGTCCTCATAGTATTCCTGAGAGCCGCCTAAAATTGGTTCTTATTTAACTGATAAACTGAGACTCAGGTTAGGTAATTTACCTAAGGGTAACAGAGGTTGCAGGTGGCATAAGTAGGATTCACACCCAGGACTGAAAGCCTATGCTTTTTATAATTTCTAATTATGGAGTCAGAATATAGCATATGGCATAGAAATCAAATGTTCAAACATTCTTGAACTTCAGCATCTGTGTTTTGATGTAGTTTGTCTCAAACAGGAGTTCTCACACTTCCAAGGGGTTTGTAATGTGCCAAAAGCATAAACATGGGGCATCACAGAAGGCTGACTGCAATTAATTCTAAGTGATTTAAAGTGCATGTACAGCTTTTATAAAAATTTTTAAAATAAAAAAATCAGAAGTTAACACTAAGACAAAAATCAGAAAGAACAAATATCTCAGGGATATTGAGCACAATTTAGTAAATATTTATTCAGTGCCTACTGTATGCCAAGTGCACCACACTAGATGCAAGGGATACTAACAATAAGATATGGTCCCTTCTCTCAAGGAGCTTACCTTTCTACAACTCAGCACTTATCTCAAATATTCTAATAGCAAAATTCCACCACTCTTTTTAAATGTTAACACATGACACAGCATAATTACCAACCAGAGTTATAAAACAATATTAGAGCTAAAAGAAGCCTTTGATATGATTTGTCCACGTCTCTCGTTTTATGGAAAACAAACGAACTGAAGGAATGGCCATTTATGCCTAGAACTCATGTGTTCAGATTTTAAGTTTGGTGCTTTTCCCATTTTCAGGGTTCTGCAAAATAATATTCAGTAGATTTTTTAAGTAACATTCAAACTCCTGTAACTTACCTATATAGTTGTTTCCTACTAGAAAAGGACCTCATAATTATACCATATTAAAATTAGTGTATGCTCTGTTTACCCCATTCTAGCCTTTGTGATAAAACAGAGAGATCACAATCATTCAAGTGCTGGTGTCTGCTACTACTTCAGGTGTGTTCAGTATTCAAGATGGCAAGAATGTTATGTGCTGCCCAGCATCTGCCTGCCTGGGCCTCTCTCCGCCCACACTTCTCACAATGTTCCTAAAGTGCTCGGGTGGGGGTGCGGGGCACCTAGCTACTTAGGTACAAACCCTGCCACTGACCAGAAGGAAACCCAAGTAGAAGTTGAAGCAGTACTATTTTCCTAGCTGGCAAACATATAACCTACTATTTCAACCATGCATATACTCTAAGGTGCCATAATGTGCCAGGCACTACATTGGATTCAAAGGATATATATGAAAAAGTCTGTCCATCAGGAGCAATTTGGAAACTATGAAACAATGTTAATTACATTCTCAGTAATATTAGATGCAGCACTAACACTTGGGCCTTGGAAGGTCTCCAAAAAAGACTTCAGAGACCAAATTAAGAATGGTGCTGGGGAATGGGCAGAAAGATTAAAGTCCCCCCCATAAAAAGGGGGTGCCTGGGTGGCTCAGTCATTAAGCGTCTGCCTTCAGCTCAGGTCATGGTCCCAGGGTCCTGGGATCGAGCCCCACATCAGGCTTCCTGCTCCGCGGGAAGCCTGCTTTTCCCTCTCCCACTCCCCCTGCTTGTGTTCCTTCTCTCGCTGTCTCTCTGTCAAATAAATAAATAAAATCTTTAAAAAAAAAAAATTAAAGTCCCACAGGTAAAAAGAGAAAGCCACATTCATTTGATCTAAAAGACCAAAAGTATGAAGGAGAGGCTATAGGCCTCCAGAAAGGCGTTGGCTAGAACAGGGAATGGACCACTAGTGTTCACAAGAACACCAGTGAGGGGCATCAAGTATTTTAAATGCTGGTTGTCCAACTTAAAGATTCCCCCAAGTTTAAGGTAAATACGAGGGACCATATTCTGTCACCACTGTAGCCAATCCTGTGGTAGACTGGGTAGTTTGAAAAGTTCCTCTGAACATAATTGTTTTTGATACCCTAGCAGTAAGTCTACTTTTTAAAACCAAAAATGCTCCATTTCTCCCTGTACAACCAGTAATGTTTTGACTTTTCACCAAATTTACATGTCCAATTACAGATAAATGAAAGACAGTAAAGACATCTCTTACAAATGCTTCTTAAAACAGATTTTTTTAATTTCCTTTAATACGTGTGGATTCCATCAAATATAACCATTTAGGATTGTTACTACCTCTACTAGTATAGACAAATTTATAGAAATTATTTTGAATGTACCATGTCTACTTCAATTAGCATAATTTTATTTAAGCAATTAAGGTTGTCTGTGTTACCAGTGTTGACATTTTCAGGAATTTATGGTATACTTTATGGGATGAGCTTGACAATGAAATCTCACTTTCAGCCCTGTTCTGACTTCACTAGCAGGTGGCCCTGAGCAAGCCAACTTATCAGAACCTTGGGTCCATGTCCATAAAATAAAGACATTACAACCTGTCCTACCTACATCACAGGGTTCCTGTATATATGAAAAAATTTTTGGCAACTATAAAGTACTATAAAATGACAATTACAGATGTCAGTGAGGTTAACCACCAAAATAATATTTCAGCTTCATGCCTATACCCAAAAACTTTTAAACAAAACAGCTTAAATAAAGTGTCATTAAACAAATGAAGACTGTATTACCCACACTATGTTCCTACTCTACTGAGTCTAATCTTTGGAAGAACTTAATTCATTTTAGGGAAAAAAAATCTGAGTTAAGATATTTATTAGTGTTTATACAAACAAGCAGTAACCACTAATTCAAAAATAGGAGGGTTTTTCCTCGAGTACATTCTTTAATAGGACTCTATTTGAATAAGAATTCCATACAAATAGAATATATACTTAACACAAGAAAGCAAGGAAAGATTTTACATTACACAGAACAGACATTCAGTTGGTTCAATCATGGGTGAATTACCCTTCCAACCAAATACTTATTTTTTATATTTATTACAAATATTGCAGTCCAGTATATGCCAACAATCACACAGTTTTAACATTTAGTAGCATGAAGCACACTTAACTGTTTCCAAAGGGATATGTGATGTAGTCTTCATTTCACAGGGATAGAAGTGATTGAATTACTGTCTGCTCTTTAATGTTTCAACTAACCTGTGAAGAGAAAATCAACAGTTTCATAACATTAACTTCAAACTTTCAGGTATAGAGCATGATCATTTATGGTAAGTTTTATACTGAAAGTGGATTCCAAAGCACTTTAAATGATGAAGGCTAAGACAGTTACACTGAAGAATGATGTTATGGACCCAATTTCCATGAAAGCCTTTTAGCTTTCACTTTTGTCTATGCTCTGAATGAATAATCAAAAAGACCAAATATCTTCTTTCCAGGCTGTAACTACTGCAGCATGGCCAGATGTGGATAACTCAGAGGTGAAAACTAGCCTCAGTCCTCATGAAGCTTAAAATCTAATGAGTAGATGCACTAATCAATTACAGGACAGTGTAACTACTGTATCACTGGTCTGTGACAAGGACATCCAACTATGTGTGTGGAAAGGCAGTGGGCATGGAGACATGCAAGGGAAGGTTCTTGAGAAGAAGACAGTCTTAACCTAAGTCCTGAAGGATAAGGAATGGAGGATGTGGTGAGGAAGGGAAAAGTTAAAAAAAAATGAGAGAAGACTGGCTTATCTAACTATAATCAGGTAGGTGTGACTGAAATAACAGCTAATGCATATGAAGACCAGTGGAAGAAAAGGCTGGAGGAACTTAATATAATAAGCTGCTAAGTAATCTGAATTTCATCCTTAAGACTAAGGAAATCACACGTGTGCAAACAGCTGCATGCAAGAACAAATGCACAAATGGTTTCTGGAAATATACTTAACCATTCCATTGCCTCATCAAGGCCAGTGCCTTTGGTTG